TTAACCTTGTTATATATGATGTTAACCTTGTCATGTCTGATGTTAACCTCGTTATGTCTGATGTTAACCTTGTTATGTCTAATGGTAACCTTGTTATGGCTGCTGTTAACCTAGTTTTGTCTGATGTTAATCTTGTTCTGTCTGATGTTAACCTTGTAACATATTATGCTTACCTTGTTATATCGGATGTTAACCTTGTTATGTCTGCTGTTAACCTGGTTTTGTCTGATGTTAATCTTGTTCTGTCTGATGTTAACCTTGTAACATCTTATGCTTACCTTGTTATATCGGATGTTAACCTTGTTATGTCTCATGTTAACCTTGTCATGTCTGATGTTAACCTTGTTATATATGACGTTAACCTTGTCATGTCTGATGTTAACCTTGTTATGTCTGATCTTAACCTTGTTATGTCTAATGGTAACCTTGTTATGTCTGCTGTTAACCTAGTTTTGTCTGATGTTAATCTTGTTATGTCTGATGTTAACCTTGTAACATCTTATGCTTACCTTGTTATATCTGATGTTAACCTTGTTATATCTCATGTTAACCTTGTCATGTCTGATATAAACCTTGTTATATCTGATGTTAACCTTGTTATATCTGATGTTAACCTTGTTATGTCTCATGTTAACCTTGTCATGTCTGATGTTAACCTTGTTATATATGATGTTAACCTTGTCATGTCTGATGTTAACCTTGTTATGTCTGATGTTAACCTTGTTATGTCTAATGGTAACCTTGTTATGTCTGCTGTTAACCTAGTTTTGTCTGATGTTAATCTTGTTATGTCTGATGTTAACCTTGTTACATATTATGCTTACCTTGTCATGTCTGATGTTAACCTTGTTATATCTGAGGTTATCCTTGTTATGTATCATGATAACCTTAACCTTAGGTAAACGGACTTTATGCTGGTCTGGCAACCCTCCATGTCATGACTCTAACCCATGCTTTTCTGTACAACATCAAACTAGACATACGTACATTGTTATTAGTTGCAAATCATTTTGTCTTCGGTCGAGTAAAATTCTAATAAAAAGATCTTCGCATCACTCCCGGTTAGTGATCTGTCTTTGAATTACTCTGGCAATGGAAATTAGAACTAAACAAAATCGCATTTTTTGTGATAAAATGAAACTAATGCTGCAATTATTTAGATTCTTACAGCAATTGATATTTTCCTCTGTGTGATTGACTGTGGTGTGTGTTTGACTGTGGTGTGTGTTTGACTGTGGGGTGTTTGACTGTGGGGTGTTTGACTGTGGTGAGTTTGACTGTGGTGTGTTTGACGGTGGTGTGTTTGTTTGTGGTGTGTGTTTGTCTGTGGTGTGTTTGTCTGTGGTGTGTTTGTGTTTGACTGCGGTGTGTTTGACTGTGGTGTGTTTAACTATGGTGTGTGTTTGACTGTGGTGTTTTTGACTGTGGTGTGTTTGACTATGGGGTGTGTTTGCCTGTGGTGTGTTTGTCTGTGGTGTGTTTGTCTGTTGTGTGTTTGAATGTGGTGTGTTTTTCTGTGGTGTGTTTGTCTGTGTTGTGTGTTTGTCTGTGGTGTGTGTTTGGGTGTGGTGTGTTTGACTGTGGTGTGCTTGACTGTGGTGTGTTTGACTGTGGTGTGTTTGACTGTGGTGTGTGTTTGACTATGGTGTGTTTGACTGTGGTGTGTTTGAATGTGGTGTGTTTGACTATGGTGTGTTTGACTGTGGTGTGTGTTTGACTGTGGTGTGTGTTTGACTGTGGTGTGTTTGACTGTGGTGTGTTTGACTGTGGTGTGTTTCTGTGGTGTGTTTGACTGTGGTGAGTTTGACTGTGGTGTGTTTGACTGTGGTGTGTTTGACTGTGGGGTGTTTGTCTATGGTGTGTGTTTGACTGTGGTGTGTTTGTCTGTGGGGTGTGTTTGACTGTGGTGCGTTTGACTGTGGTGTGTTTGACTGTGGTGTGTGTTTGTCTGTGGTGTGTTTGACTGTGGTGTGTGTTTGACTGTGGTGTGTTTGACTGTGGTGTGTTTGAATGTGGTGTGTTTGACTATGGTGTGTTTGACTATGGTGTGTGTTTGACTGTGGTGTGTTTGACTGTGGTGTGTTTGACTGTGGTGTGTGTTTGACTGTGGTGCGTTTGACTGTGGTGTGTTTGACTGTGGTGTGTGTTTGACTGTGGTGTGTTTGACTGTGGTGTGTTTGACTGTGGTGTGTGTTTGACTGTGGTGTGTTTAACTATGGTGTGTGTTTGACTGTGGTGTGCGTTTTACCCTGTGTGGTTCAATAATTGTATATTTCCTGTACGTTAATATGCTTTGTGTATATTAAGATTCAAAACCCCTCGTTCATCGCGATATCAACCAACAGAGGTACTTCAACCAACAGAGGTGCTTCAACCAACAGAGTTGCTTCAACCAACAGAGGTGCTTCAATATATTGAAAGGTAGTCGACAGTTTTCATAATAATTTGACCCATATCTATTTTTATATGACCTTTCTCAAAAATATTCAGAGCAAGTTGCATGTATTGCATGTAAACCACGAACTGGGCAAACTCTACCAAGGTGAATATATCGCTGATGTATTTGTGCGTTCTTTTTTAATCATGTATTACCTTTGTATACTTGTATTAAACATGCGTCTGTTAATAAAAGGAGAATGTGTATTTGTTAGCTAACTATCACCAGGTTATACCTCTTCGTTACGTCACCGGACACACACATCCGCCAGTCCATCAATCGCTTGCTACAATTACATTGGCTTTGATTCAGAAATTCTATATTGTTACAATGCAGACCTGGCCTAGATCATCGTATATGCTCCCTTAATGTGAACAATAAATTTTGCTAGGCGATAGACTAACTTCTCGGTTGCATGGCTAATCTAATGTGCATGTGTGTACTGCTAAACTTTGATATATATCTGGTACTGTTTAAGCCAACATGACAATAATAAATGCATGCATATTAATATATTGATTCATATCCGGTTTTCCTCAGTATGGTCCGGTACAATGAATTTTATTCTGTGTAGTTGAAATGGAACGGGTTGGGCAACAGATAAAGTGGAGGTTATGTCCTAGATAAATGTTATCAGGAAAGGTTTTCTGAATTATCAAATCCTGTGTGCCGACGACGTGATACATGTGAGACATCACACGACACGCCCTCATGAATGCGTACCTGTCTACAGGCGTTCTTCACAACGCGAGCCTATATTGAAAGTGGTCGTTAGATCTGTTTAATAGAACATCATAAATCAATGCGAACTGATAAGTTTAGTGAAGGGCAATTTCAGGCCAATTTCTTGGGCGCTTTATAAACCCCAGTTACTACATTATCGGTGTTTCCTTCTCCAAATCAATAAAGTGACGAGTCACCGGTTCCTGTACTTAAAAACTTATTGAAGAACATTTCCAGCGCGGTCAACTATTTGTCAAAGCTCGCTACATGTAAACACCAACATCACACCACACTGGGCTCTCCAAATTTCCCCCTTTTTAATTCTGGCTAGCTTGCTACTGTGGCCGTAGGCCCCTGTTTTGATAAGAACCGACATTTATATTAACTCTCCTTATCACTGTCCCCGATATTTTCTAAAAATGTTCAAAAAAAATCACAATCATGCATATTCTGTGATAGGGGATGTCGATCAGACCTATTACCCTGCTGTATGCGTCCCTGTGTGGACATGTGTACCCCTATTTCTATGTAAGTCGCTGATGGAGTCCCCAAGGTACCAGTGCTGAGCCCGTTGTCAGAATAATGTGGCGGGGGAGTTGCTACCGTGTTCAATGGCACAGTGAGATAGCACTATGAAGATATAGTACGCATGAAGTTGCCCTATCTGCGAACCCCGTCGTAAACCGAGCCACGGTCCGAGGTGTGGTCGGGTAGGTCACATATCATGAATTACGGCCACCGCCTTGTCATCAAGTGCCACTCCCAGATAACTCAATGTACCATTCAACTACATATCTTAGCACCCGAACTTGATTCCACTAAGGAAAGTAACTTGGACACTCCCAATAAAATGGAAATACTTTAAAATGTGACTTACTACATGTATATTAGAGTCAATTTGTCGATCATTGTATATTTTTACGTCAGAGCGGAAATGCGTTAATTTCCTATATTATTAGAAAGGTAGCAATTCATACGAGAACATTTCAGGAGCCTAACTTGTGAGAACATTTCAGGAGCCTAACTTGTGAGAACATTTCATGTTGCTGGTGTATTAGATTTTGCCAACACGTTTATTAACAATATCACATCTCTTAATTAGGTTTCTGATACTTTTTCACACTGTGATTAAATTTCAGCAGATTTCACAATTCTTTACACTTTACACACATTCGTCGACGTTAAACAGAAACACGTTATCTTTATATTAAAAACCCTATAACGACTATATGTGCATGTTGCTATTTCGCCGTAATTGAAGGGAATTCATCATTTTACACCATTGTCCATTTTTATCGAAAGCCTAGTGTATTTAAGCTAGTTTAGCTATTACGTGTAAACAATGATTAGAAACTAATTAAAACTGGCCAGATTGGACAATTGACATTCAAGACAAAGATAAATGAATTAAAGGAGATACAATACCGTTAAATGAAGCAGGTGTAAACAATGTATACTCACTCTCCGTTTGTTTGTATATAGTTGTTCATTATGATGTTGTTGTTGACTTTTCAATATTTCTCCAATAAAACTAATAAATAAATACATTCGGTAGCAACATTCCTAAAACTAACACAACATTCGGTCGATGAAATAATTCAAATAAAGCATTCGATTGAATATCGAACACAGCGCGCGAGGAAAGCAGATTTGGTGCAACGACAGAAATTTTGTCGTAATCGAACTAAATATAAGTTTCTGGATTAGAAAGGTGACTGATAGCTGATTACTTAACTACGGTTGGAGTTTTGGAATTCGATTTGTTATCCCAAAAATCACGTAACTAAATCAAATATACACATGTACACTGTATATCACATTGCAATGAAAACGTACTTACTTCTAAGTCGGTCCAGGAGAAGTAGTCGGCCAGCGATCTTCAAACAGTTTTACTCCAATGAATTTTATCACTCAAATCTCCGGACGTTTAAGAAAAAGAATTAAAAAAAGAAATACATCCCTAAAGACGACCAAAATATGCAGATACAGTACTCATTAAATCGGCTGTAAAGTGCGTCATGTCGGAATTGAGCGGGGTATACCGATCTCCGACCCTCCCTCTAACTGATAAACGGGGTGATAAGACACAGGCTTATTGGCGAAACTTATCTTACGGCTGTGAGTTAATGAAACTCCACATAATAGACAGGCATCACTGTAGCCAGTCCACGCATACCCTCAGCTATTTATCGGCATACTTTAGAATAATAGACTTTATCACTTCTGTGTGATGTAGACAGCCACCTTAGGATGATTATTTTGTAAGTTTTAGCACGAGGCTTTGATGAGTGCTAAAGGCACCATGCTAAGCTTCGAGAGTTTGGATTTTGTTGTTTACATCACCGAGGACTAATCAATTATTTACCCCTCACACTCCCTTCCAAAACAAAATACTCAAAGAGGTGCTCGTGAGTCCAATGATCGACGTCAACACAATTGTGATGCAACTCTTTTCCAACCTCGATGCTCCAGGGGTTACGTCCACTTACGCTCTCTGCACCCCTGGAATATATTATAAAGTGGCTATTTGATTAGTCTCAGGTGAAAAACAAGACCAATCGCTAGTCTGATACATGTCCTTTGAATATTACAAAGGAGCGACACCCGACTTCAAAGTCAGTCAACTTACCGTTACACGACCGCGGGATTGTTCTGATGTACATCAAAGGATCAAACTAGTCTTCTCGTCTCCTCCTCAAAGTGAAGCACACAGAGCCTTCAGTTTTGCTATGACATATTCCGGGGGTGCAGAGAGCGAAAGTGAGCGTGACACCTGGAGTATCGAGGATGCTCTATTCTAATATATTGATATTTTCACTAGAACAGGAGGGCCTGTATCTGCACGAAACTGACATAAAGGTAGCTTCAGACTAAATTTTGTAACTAGAACACGAGACATTTAACATCTCTTAAACGTTTCTAAAGATACTGTTGTTTGAAATTTGAATTTTAAAGCTTTTGACAAACGTTGACCTTTGACTCCGGCTAGCACTTAAAGCTAATGTTTGACCTCATTACTGTAATAAAGAAAACATTTCACACAGCTGGTCCACATAACATACCCAAGTATCATGACTAGTCTAAATAGTTCTTAGGATATTGTTTTTAACATATTTGACCCCTGTGACCAGTAGGTCAAGGTCATTTTATTGAAGAAACTGTATAGCACTTTATCCCAGGTATCTACTGGCCAAATATCATGACCTTAGGCATTATGGAACTTGAAAACAAGTTTGTTAAAGCTTTTTATCCAAGTTGACCTTTGACCCCGACTAGCACTTAAAGGTGACCTTTGACCTCATTCCTAAACGGAAGAAAAAGATTCACACAGCTGGTCTTTATAACATACCCAAGTATTAAGACTCTTGTCCAAGTGGTTCTTAGGACATTGTTGTTTGAAATGTTTAACACATTTATGCCCTGTGACCTTGAAAGTAGGTCAAGGTCATTTTAATGAGGAAACATTAAAGCACTCCATCCCAGGTATCTACCTGCCAAATATGACCATATACCTTATGGAACTTGAGAAGCAGATTGTTAAAGTTTTTAACCGAATGTTGACCTTTGACCCCTGACTAGCATTTAAAGTTGACCTTTTACCTCATTACTGTATAAAGAAAAATATATGCACTGCTTGTCTACATAACATAACCCAAGTATCATGACTCTAATCCAAATGGTTCATAGTAAATTGTTGTTTGAAGTTTTAACATATTTGACCCCTGTGACCTTTAAAGTCAATGACATTTTAATGAGGACACTTTATAGCACTCCATCCCAGGTACCTACTGGCCAAATATCATGACCTTATGTCATCTATTTCTTCAGAAGAAGTCGTTCAAACGAAAAACGAAAACGATATATCAAATTAACTGAGCCTTCGATTGTGTCAAGAGAGAGAAACACCTGGAGTTTCGAGGATGAAATAACCCAGAACGAGTTATCTTCAAAGGACAGGTATCAGCCTATTGATTGGTCAGGTTTTTTTCACATGAGACCAATCATTAGCTAGCCGCGTGTCTTCAGTTTTGCTATGACATATTCCTGGCCCTGGAGTAAATTACCTTTGACTTGGCCCATACCATGGTGGAAGGGGTATAACTCGAATCATTTATGGATCCAGAACAGTCGTTCCGAAAAATAGAACAGATAAAGAAACTTCGATTTCAATCAATAATGGAAACATTTCTCGATTATTAAAAACCGCTAAAAGCCACGTTCAGGAGAAAGAACCGCTATTTGGCTCGTGCCTTTTCAACGATAGTTGTTTAAATCATGTAGATGTAATATGTTAATTCCGTCGTTTTAATTGTCGTACTATATACATACATGTACATGCAGTTGATACGACAAAATGGATAATAAACTGATCCGATACAAAGATGAACCAAAATACAAGATACAAGAACCAACAAGATACAAGAAACGTTTTTTAACGTCGCATACAGGTAAACACGGAACATTAGCTCTTGAGAGCTATTATTGCGATAAACATATGTAAAATAACAGTAACATATTATATTACAAGTAAAGGGAGATAATCACATATATTAATTAAAAAAACCCAGTAATAATCATCACGAAAAAGAAAGTATACATATCCCAGGTTTCTAAGTGATTGGGAGTTCCCTACCTACAAAGGTCCCCGGGATATATATATATATATAAATAGTGTTAATATATGAAAAGCATTAAATGTGATCCCATATAAGTAGTATTCAGAATAAGAATATAAAAGACGTAGTTAATAGTAAATGAATACTTGTATATCACACAAGAAGTACTTAGAACTTAGGATTAAAACACTATGAAGTGGAATATACATACAATGCTAATATAGCAAAGAATAAAAATTGACAAAATGTACACTATTATAGTGTGAATTAAACTACATGGACGTAGGCCTCCTATAACGGAAAACCTGCCTGTAAGATCAAGGAAATCTGACAATATGAAGGATCTAGATATTTCAAGGTTGAACCAAGGACACTTGATATAACATTTGAATATGTAGACCCGACACCTCGACTGATACATGTAAGCTACGTTTATAAAGATAAGAGGCCTGTACGTATCCAGCTTACATACTTGTCATGCTGGAGGACGATGTTCACACTCAGCTCTAGGCTTTATGAGATCAGCACAGTCAACATCGAGAGTCGAAGATGAATCTGAAATTCGCAGTCAATTTGACATCTTTGACCACATGGACATCGCAACAACAAAAGGATCAGCAAACAAACTGCAACCAGATTATTAGAAACCTTAGTTGTCTCTCGGAGTGGAGAGATTTTTGACTGTATGACTGGTTCAAAATATTTCACAATTTTTGATATGAAGTCACACATTTGGACCTCTTACCTTTCAAATGTAATTCAACAGTTGTCTTTGGGATTGTCGAACGCCTCTGCCACGTATCAAAGGCTGAAGGGGATAACCTTTATGACCTACATCTCTTGTAAGCTCTACTTTGGTGATTGTATATTCAGCGTCTTAGAAAAAGCTGGTTAAAGATGAAGTTCCTACCACCCAAATGCTCTTGTATCACCTACAGGATGATATGTGTTAGCCAGGCGGAAGGCACCAGAAAGGCCACCTTGATACTGGGGAATGGAACAAGGTACAGCATTTCAGAGGCTAAATGAACAATTGGCATCACCGCCAGTTCTAGTACACGTATGTGCACTGTACAACATAACATTGGAGGTGCAGGTCGAAGCTTGTGGAGGAGGACTGGATTTGGTATTGGGTAACAGAAGTTGAACACACTCAATACGGTAAATCTTTGGAGATCGAGTATGGGATATTCCACTTCCTATTACTGACCTGCTTTCATGTGAAATGCAACAGCAGAAACAATACTTACCTTGCACATTTATAATGTTGTACATCATAAGGAGCACACTGCAGTTGTAGGAAGCCACAAATTAACAGAATAGTTTTGTGGTCTCTTTGAGAGTTCACGTATACAACAAGAATTTATTGGGAGAACACGCCTAGACATGTCAGAGGACAGAACCCTAAACTCGGAGGCGAAAGACCAGTCCATCACATAATCAGTAGGCAAAGTAAATGTAAGCTTGGCCAGCCGTGTATTTAGCAACTACAAGAAGAACATAGAACTATATCCGACTCAAAAGTTCCTCTCCAAACTGAGTGCTACTTGACATAGATGGGTGCACGTGTCACCATCTATCTCTGACGTTGTACCGGCCTGGAACTTCCAACATTGATGCAGATGTTTACTAGAACATTCCAATACCCACCCAAGATGAGGACTCCTACACGATGATCTTGGAGTAAGCAAGGCACAGCCTAAATAGCCAGTACAGCGACATTGGATTGACAAAGTGACTTACCACAGACAACCAATATGTCGACAGCTACGTACACACGGTAAAAACATGTCGACAGCTACGTACACACTGTAAAAACATGTGGACAGTTACGTACAGACGGTAAAAACATGTCGACAGCTACGTACACACGGTAAAAACATGTCGACAGCTACCTACACACGGTAAAAGCATGTCGACAGCTACGTACACACGGTAAAAACATGTCGACAGCTAGTACACACGGTAAAAACATGTCGACAGCTACGTACACACGGTAAAAACATGTCGACAGCTAGTACACACGGTAAAAACATGTCGACAGCTACGTACACACGGTAAAAACATGTGGACAGCTACGTACACACGATAAAAACATTTCGACAGCTACGTACACACGGTAAAAACATATGGACAGTTACGTACACACGGTAAAAACATGTCGACAGCTACGTACACACGGTAAAAACATGTCGACAGCTACATAAACATGGTAAAACATGTCGACAGATACGTACACACGGTAAAAACATGTCGACAGCTATGTACACACGGTAAAAGCATGTGGACAGCTAGTACACACGGTAAAAACATGTGGACAGTTACGTACACACGGTAAAAACCTGTCGACAGCTACTTGCACACGGTAAAAACATGTCGACAGCTACGTACACACGGTAAAAGTATGTCGACAGCTACGTACACACGGTAAAAGCATGTCGACAGCTACATACA